CTCTCTGACCCTCCCCTGCTCATGTTGTCTGTCTGTCTGTCTCTCTCTCAGAAATAAATAAAAACATTATTAAAAAAAGTAAAAAGCTACCATTTCTCCAGGGAGAAGCAATCGAAAATGGGAGCAGCTTATGTGTACTCCGTGCCTGTACCTCTGTCTGTGGAAGGCAGCAGGCCCAGAGCCCCGTGCAGGCCTGCAAAGTCCCTCAGGGCCTCCAGTATTGGGTTGTCATAGGGTCCCAGCAAATGCCTCTCTGCTTAGAGAGATTTGGGCTGGATGGCATAGTGGTTTCATTACTTGGCACCTCCAGCTCTAGTGGGGGGTGGGGGGTTGCCTAAAGAGTGAGGTTGGGAAGGCAGCTGAGAGCCCTAGGTTTGGAGGACTGGCAGCATCTGCCACCGTGGGATTAGGAAGCAGCCAAACCTCGGCAGTCCGTTTGAACAGCCTGCTCTCATTTCCTGCTGGCTCGGCGCTGCCCACACCCAGTGATAGCTTTCTCAGATGCACTTTACTCTTCCATTGGGAATGGTGCTCTGAGGTTCGTGGCCACAGCCCACACAAAAGGAAACCTGAAAAAAATGGAGAGCTTTACCTGATTCATGGGTTGGAAAATTCAGTACCATAAAGCTGAGAATTTCTCTCAAACTATTATGTATGCCTATCAAAATCTCAGTAAAGAGTTTCCTAGACATTTACAAGCTAATTCTCAAATTCACGTGGAAGAGAGAAAGCCAAAGAATAGCTTAAGGGACTTTGAAGGAAAACAAGACTGATCCTACCAGCTTTCAAGATCTATGATGAAGCCACTGATCTGAAAGAATTCATACAGGAATGGAATAGCCTGATGGGACAGAGCAGAGAGCCCAGAAATACACCCACATGTATCCAAATACCTGACATATGACAAAGAATAGACCATTCAGTAAACAAGGTTGAATAATTGGTTTCCATATGGAAAAGTTAAAATTCAAAATGGAGCTCAAGGAAAAAAAAAGTGAGACTTTTCAGAACAGAAGGTACATATAAGAGGCTATATTTATGGTGTAAGGTAAGGAAATATTTTTTAGAGAGAACAACAAACCCACAGACCAGAAAGGAAACAATAAACTCATTGTAAATTAAGATTAAGGCAAAAGAAGGGATATAGGAGTGCTGATGCATAGGAACTCATGTACCCCAATGTTCATAGCAGCACTCTCAACAATAGCCAAAACATGGAAAGAGCCTAAGTGTCCATCAACGGACGAATGGATCAAGAAGATGTGGTTTATCTACATGATGAAATACTACATGGGAATGAGAAAGAATGAAATCTGGCCATGTGTAGCAACATGGATGGACCTTGAGGGTGTTATGCTGAGCGAAATAAGTCAGGCAGAGAAGGACAAATATCATATGATTGCACATATAGGAGGATTAGGAGGAACTTAACGGAGGACCATGGGGGAGAAGAAGGGGGGAAATAGTGGGGGAGAGGGAGAGAGGCAAACCATGAGAGACTCTTGAATGCTGAGAGCAAACTGAGGACTGATGGGTGTGTGTGTGGGGGGGGAGATGGGCATGGAGGAGGGCACTTGTGGGGATGAGCACTGGGTGTTATACGGAAACCAAGTTGACAATAAACTAGTTGTAAAAAAAAAAAAATTAAAAATAAAATAAATTCCAAAAAAAAAAAGATTAAAGCAAAAGTTCAAGGAAAGACACAATCAAATAAAAGATGAGATGCGGTCTATATCTGGAAAAAGTAAAGAAGTTCTACAATCAATAAGGAAAAGGCCACCTAGCAGAATATAATGAACAAAGGATATGATTTGGAAATTTACAAATAAATGACATCCAACTGTCCAATAAGTAAAAGCTTCCCCTCCACTGGTTGGGAAAATGCAGATTAAAATGACAATGAGGTATTTTATCCCCACTGGATTGGCAAGACTTTTAAAGTCTGACAATACCAACTGTGGATTGTACTGGTGCCTGCTGGGTAAGACAGTGCCAATGACAGGAAACAGGGTCACTTTGGAGAGCGGTGTGTTCCTACCTAGGGAAGATGCAAATGAAGATTCCCTATGATCCAGCCATACTAATTCTACATATGTAGGAAAAACTCTCTTACACGTCCAGGAGGAGGTATGCACAAGATGTTTGTGTGATCTCAGTTACAATAACGAAAAAGAAAATAATGTCTATCGGCAGGGGAATGAGCAAATCAAATGTGTTATAGTCACTCTGTGGAATACTGATCAACAAAGCAGATCCTGGCGAATATATTTCAAATATCAACATGGATCAACTCAAAGACATAGGTAAAACATCATAACTTCATATAGTATGAATTCATACCAAATTAACGTTTAGAAATGTGAAAAACCTGACAAAACCTTGTTTAGAAATATATGCCTATAGAGTAACGGTGTATAAATATGTATTAGAATGCTAAGCACCGTGAGGAAAACCATTCATGAGGAACGGGAATGTATCCCTTTGGGGTTATGATTAACTATAATGTTTATGTTTCTAAAAAAAAAAATCTGAAGCAAACAGGGCAAAATGACAAGGTTTGTGAAAGCTGTATGGTGGGCACAAGACTGATGCGTTATTCTTTGTTTCCTTTTGTTTGCGATATTAGCAAAATGTCCCCAGGTCCCTGATCTCTGAGTTTCCCCCAGATGCAAAATTATGGCTCAGGAGGACACAGGGCAGAAGTATGTTCACCTTCTATTTACACCCAGGAGTTTCCTTAGAGACTGTGCCTCTCCTAACACTTTCCTCACCTGTGGCATTTGATGACTTCACCATCATTCATTCAGTACCAGTTAGGTGCCATGCACCAAGGAAATGGAATAATTCAGGTCTGCTCTTCCCCGATCCAGGAGCTTACCGGCTCTTTGTGGAGACATGCAGGCAAATGGTCATGCTGCGGTCAGTGCTACAGCAGAGGTGTGTTTAAAAACACTGGGGCCAGCCCAGTAGGAGTGAGCAGTCTTTCACACCAAAGTGTGGGGACACAGAATGCAAGACCTTGAAGGTTAAGTTCACAAGACAGAGGGTTTGAGGAGAGGGAAGCATGAGTAAAAGAAACGAGGTGTGGGGTCCCTGTCGTGTTACGGGGCTGGTATCAGTCTCCAGATCGGGCAGGTGCTTCAGAATCGCTTTCCCCCCACGGTGGCGGAAAACCCAACAAAGGCAAGGGTTTGTAGGAACTGGGTAGGAACCCACTGAAGGTACTTCGATGAGAGATGATGAAAGCCTGAACCACAACACAGTGATTTCGGTTATTGTTTCCCCCATGAAACTGCAAATTAATCAAGGGCAAATGAAGCAAGCACAATGGCCTAACCGGGTTTTGTTTATCTCTGTGTACCCACTGTGCCTACAGCTGCACCCAATGTGTGACAGGAGCTCGGCGAATGCGTGCTGATGGGAGGGAGGAAGTGGCCAGGCCCATAGTCCTACTCCCTCTTCCACAGATAAGAAAACGGAGAGCTGCGGAGGGGAGTGGTGTTTTCAAGGATGTCCTTAGCTGGATGCTTACCACCGCCTCTAGCACAGCAAAGAGCCCTGCACCTGCTCTGCTAACAATGGAGAAGCATGTAGGTTCGCTGGTTCCTAAAGACAGAGACCCCGCAGGTGAAAAGTTCTGATACAACGAATCCTGTTATAAAGCTGGGCTCTTCTGCGGACGTGCTTTCTCTTCCTTTCAGGCAGAAAAAGAGTTCCTTTAAGACAGATGAAATTCTCTGAGATGAATAACACAAAACAATAGCTTCGTCCAAATAACAGGCTCTATTCAGGTGCCTCTGAAAATACCTGATTGTGTGCTGTTGGTATTGTGCGCAGGGCAAGCCCAGCAGCACTGGGAACTTTACGAGTCTTTTGTTCTGCCACCAGCCAGGAATTGGCTCTCCACCCCCACATAGTAAACTTCCAGTCACCTGAACACAATTCACCTACTTTAGCCTGCAGAGCAAAACAGCCTCCAAAGCGCACACAGGTGTGAAGCCTTTGCCTTTGCGGCCTCCCCACCTCCTCTCTGGGATTCCTCTTGTGTCTGAGACAGACCCACCCTCCACCGCTCCAAGGCTCTGCGTCCTCCCATCTCCTGTGGATCTGGCCACGGCAGGTGTTGAATCTGCCCCTCTTGACCCGTCAACATTTCCCTGTCACGGGGCCCTTTCTTTCAGCATCTAAACATGCTTATGGCTTTCAGCCGAGAAATGAAAGGCTCAGAAACCACTCTCTATTCTGCCTGTTCCTAGTCTGCGTGTCCCCTTCTAGTCAGGGGATTTGGCAAGGAGTCCTCCACACCCACTGTCTTCCCCACCTCACCACCCATTCACCTCTTAGCCAACCCAGGGAGCCTGTACTTAATAGTTATTTCGGTGTGGGGGGGGGGGGAATGCCTGGCTTCAGCTCAGGTTATGATCTCACTGCTCGTGAGTTCAAGCCCCACATCTGGCTCTGTGCTAACAGCTGGGAGCCTGGAGGCTGCTTCAGATTCTGTCTGTGTCTCTCAGAACCTCCCCTGCTTGCTCTCTGTCTCTGTCTCTCAAATATAAAATAAAACATAAAAAAATTAAAAGAAATTTATCTGGGAAGGAAGGAGGGATGGAGAGAAGGAAGGAAGGTAGGAAGGAAAGAGCAAAGGTGGGAAAGTAGGAAGAATGAGAAGAAGGAAAGAGAGGGAGGGAGGAGCTGACATTTATCATAGCTATGTACTAAGCAATGTTCTAAAAATTTTACATGTAATAAATTATGAAATCCTGACATCACTGTGATGTAAGTGCTATTTATATTTACATTTTATAGATGAAGAAAGGAGGCATTGAGCAGCTGAGTAGTTGCCCTGACTCATATCAAGCCAGAATTTGGGCAAAGGCTCTCTGGCTCCAGAGCCTGAACATTCTTACTGTGTACCTAGTACAAGGTGCCTTGAAGTTAAAAATACACTGGAAGATGGCATGGACTTGTCCCATTCATTCATTCCTCTGTTCCTTATTTAGCCTTTATTGAAGACTACCATATGCAAGGCAGAGGGATAAAGACATGAATCTGCCACAAAGTTGCTCAAAGTCCAAAGAGGGAAGCCAGTAATACGAGGTGAAAAGAACTCTGGTAAGTTGGTAGGCGGGGAGCTGGGGAACCACAGAGGAAGCAGCTTGTGTTGCTGAAACTAGTGGTTCCCAGACTTCACCGTGCAGCGAAATCACCTGAGACCCTTAAAAATTACCGATGCCTGGCTCCCACCTGAGAGGTTAGGACTGACTTGACCCTGGGAATTTTGATTTTTTGGTTTTATTTATTTTAGAGGCAGAGCACGAGTGGGGGAGGGGCAGCGAGAGAGGGAGACACAGAATCCGAAACAGGCTCCAGGTTCTGAGCTGTCAGAATAGAACCCTACATGGGGCTTGAACCCACGAACCGCAAGATCATGACCCCAGCCGAAGTCTGACACTTAACCGACTGAGCCACCCAGGTGCCCCCAGCCCTGGGAATTTTAAAACTCCCCCCAGGTGATTCTGATGTTCAACAACATTTGGAAAACACTGGCTTGAAGGGTAATGAGTAGGGACTTTAGTTTGCAAGTAATAAAAAACCTAATCAAACTATTTGAAGAAAAAAAAAGAGTGGGGAAATATGTGGGCTTCCATTTAAGAAAGAGACCGAGGGTATAATGGCTATAAGTAGGGCTTGATCCAGGCCCCAAAAGATGTCAGAGGGCACAGTTTTCCTCTTTCTGGTGATGGCTCCAATCTCAGCCTCTCCTGAGTCACAAGATGCAGCCATTCTAGTCTCCGTGCCTTCTCCCTTTATGTCCCGTGCAAAGAAGAGATCTGATTTCCTTGAAGCTCAAATAAAAGCCCAGAATGGTGTTTCATTGGCTCTGACTTGGGCCTGAACCAATTACGGGGGCCAGAGAGGTGGAGGCTACCGGTTGGCCCAGCCTGGGTCACGTGTCCCACCTCTGGGGCCAGGAATCAGAAGTGGCTTCACCTGGACGCCCCCCATGGTGTGTGTGTGTGTGTGTGTGTGTGTGTGTGTGTGTGTGTGTGTGTGTGTGTGTGTGTGTGTGTGTGTAAATGACAGCTTCTAGCATATTCTGGGGGCTGAGGGTGAGGAGTTTAACTGTATATTCTAGAAGACAGAGATACTTAAATAAGAGAACAACCTGATCGCTTTTGTAATCAATTTGAGCATATAATTCTGACAGTTAGGAAAGGACATATGTGGATTTTAAAAAGGTTACTGTAGTTGTCAAGAGGTGTTGGGATCCAAACTAAGACTGTGGCTATGAGGGAAGGATAGGAGGGAGGCGACCCAAGAGAGGGCTCTGAACTATAAAGACTTGATCTGTTACCCACTTGGAAAAGAAGATTTCAAAAAGAAGAGAGGAACCACAGACGACTTTGAAAATTACAGTTTGGGAAATGGGGTCATCGGCACACCGTTAGTGAGATTAGGCACATTTGGTGCATTTTGGACAATTCAGCGTGCATCTGTTGCGTGTGAGATGTCGCGCGGACTTCTGGGAGGAGGTCCTGGGGGCAGATGAACGCGGAATCTGGAACTGAGAAGCTGGAAGTGGCCGGTGTCTGTGTGATAGCGGACGCTGGGGCAGCGCGTGTGATGACCGAGGGGAGCTGTGAACGGCGGGGAGCAGAAGGCACGGAGACCGAGGCTGAGTGGCCAGAGAGATAGCACAAGGGTGTCTGGGAATCAAAGGAAAGAGGGTTTGGAGAAAGGGGAGGGGCCCAGGGCATCATTCAGCGCAAAAACATTATGGAGGATGACTAGGATGATGGCTGGAAATAGAACATGAATTTGACAACCATGAGGCCCCTCATCCTGAGAGCCAGGCGACAACATATGGGGTGAGTGAGCCTGGAGGCAGACAAAACAAACAGGGACAGAAAGTTCCTGATGGGACTTCTAAGGCCTCAAGGAGAGGTGCCAAATCGTCCCTCTGTGTTTGCTTTGTAGTTTTGTGTTTGTTTCCCTTTCTTTAAGTTTGCTTTAGTTTGTTTTGAGAGAGGTTTGAATGGAAAGCTGTCAGGAAAATCTGAGCGAGAGACAACAGTTGAAGAGAAAGTGATTTTCCATAGAGATTGAAAGCGGATTAGTGGTTTCCAAGGGCTGGGACAGAGGGGAGTGGGAGAGCCAGCCTAAGGGGTGTAGGATTTCCTTTGGGGGTGCTAGAGATGTTCTGGAACAAGGTAGTGCTGATAGGTGATCCACACTGTGAATTTTCTAAACGCCACCGAGTTTCACACTTTGAAATGGTCGAAATGGTGAGTTTCTTATCATGTGTATTTTTTAACACATACATAAACACACACTTGGCGGACTTTCTCTGAATCATTTCATTTAATCCTTTTAACAACTGTATGACAACTTTGTAACAACTGTACTGTCCCCATTTTGTACACCAGAAAACTGAGGCTCAGAGACATTAATTCATCTAAGGTCACACAGATGCCAATTTAAGGTGACTTAACTACAAAACTCAAATTTGTAACCCCTTTCTGATCTTGCCTCTATAGGCACACAATTTCATAGGTACATATATTGATAGTATAAATAGGTCCATATCCAGCAAGGTATTGATGCTCCAAATTTCTGGGTGATGACATTATTTTTTATATTCCTCTTTTTGATTGAGCACAGGTTTGATTAGAAAAGGAAAAAGCCTGGGGCACCTGGGTGGCTTAGTCAGTTAAGCATCCAACTTCAGCTCAGGGTATGATCTCACCGTTAGTGAGTTCAAGTCCAGCACCCACTTCAGATCCTCTGTCCCCCTCTCTCTCTGCACCTCCCCTGCTTATACGCTGTCTCTCTCAAAAATAAACATTTTTTTTTTAAAAAGGAAAAAGCCTATTTTTAATGTAAAGAAGAAAAGGATTTAGGAGATATGGCCCTTCTCTGAAGATGTGACAAGAGTGTAAGAAAGAAATGGAGTGTCCCAGAGACACAGTGTTCACTGGACGTGGAAGGAGCATGAACCAAGGCGACAAGGGGACGTTGCAAGGTGGTGATCTAACAAAGTCAGAAAGGGAGTGATGGGTCCTCAGTGGAAAGGAAGAAGAAGGGCCCTTTGCAGGGAATAGCTGCACGAAGCTCGGAGGCCAGAGGGCTGGGGGAGGAGTCAGGAGATGCAGGCTGGAGCCAGTGGGGTGATGTTTTATGTCACCTCTTTCCTGGTCCTCCCTCTGCCGCTCTCCCGGGTCACTCTCCCTCTGCTCTGCCCTGAACGAGCCATGCATACCACATAAATCTGCTTTGCTCTGTTCTGTCCATGGGACAGCCATGGCCTCATCATAAGATGCTTCCCTCAGTCCTCGGGGGAAATGGAAAACCTTGAGGGCTGGTCTCTCAGGCATTCTTAGAAGGCCACTGTGGCCATGCCTCCCTGCTTTGTGCTGGGATCCTGTGACTCTCAGGCACAGACCCAGAGCAGCCCTCACTCAATTGCTTCTTTGATTTTCTCCCAGTTGGACTGTCAGGGATTGTTGGCCAGTGGGAGGGTGCTGAGTGGTGAACTGTGCAGAGAACCAACTACTGCATTTCTTTCTACCAGAAGTCAGATTTCTTTTCAGACACGGCTGAACAGAGAGCGATCAGGCCCCTTCAGCAGAGACACAGCCTAAACCAGTTCGCTCAGTGCGCAACTTGTATGACGACCAGCGGACCCACGATGTATTCCCTCTTGGCAGTGTTTGTACATCTCTTGAGGTACGTTCCATCTCCTTTTTTGTCATGTCTTTGGCATCTTAAACATTTTAAACTGATAAGCCTAAGAGTCTTTCCCTTTCCTAATGAGTATACGTCGCATTTGCAGCCTTTATAATTCATGGGATAATGCTCCTGATGGGTTTCAGAGCGAGCGAGTGACAGGAGTTCAGGCACAAGAGTGAGATACACCAGGGTTTGAATCCTAGTTCTGCCAGTTACTAGTTACTCTGTTTAACTAGAGGTTAAACAGTATTTAACCTCTTTGGTTTGGGTTTGGCCAAGTGTGGTGGTTAATTTTATGTGTCAACTTGACTGGACCACAGGGTGCCCAGATAGTTGATGAAACATCATTTCAGGGAGTGTCTTTGGGGGTGTTTCTGGATGAGAATGGGTAGACTAATGCCTATCGCCCTCCCCAGTGTCAGTGGACCTTATCCAATGCCTTGAGAGCCTGAATAGAACAAAAGGGCAGTAGAAGGGGGAATTCGTTTTTAGCTTGACTGCTGAACTGGAACATTGGTCTTCTTCTGCCCTTGGACTATGACTCTCGCCCTTGGCTGGCTGGTTTTCAGGCCATCAGACTCAGGTTAGAAATATACCACCGGCTTTCCTGGGTCTCCAGTCTACAGATGGTAGATTTATGGGACTACTGAGTCTCCATAATCGCATGAGCAAATTTCTCCTAATGAATCCATTTCTCTATCTTTATATATCTCCTATTGGGTTCACTTCTCTGGAACTCTGACTAATATAAAAAATGTAAAACTGGGTTAATAGTCTCAATCAGTAATTCTCAGAAATTTTCACAGTCCTATATGGATGTTGTGAAGAATAATGCATGAGCCCATGGTCAGCTCACAAGAAGTGGCAGTTTTATTTACCATCATATCAGGGATTGATCAGGGAAGCAGGCCCATTAATGTGATAGGGAATAAGGGCTGAGCCTAGGGATTGGAGTTCACAACGCAATGATCTATAGAAAACAGGTGCCTCTGGTTGGCTGGTGAGCCCAAAGTTGTGTCCATCAGCAGAGCTGGTAAGTGAGAAGAAAATTTGGGTGTGAGTGTGAGAAATTAAGAGGAAATTCGAACCCAGGCAGCCTGGACCCCTTGAGGAGAAGCTGGAATTTGTATTTATTTCTCACCACTTCCAACCGTAACAATGCAGTGACCCTTAGAAGCAGTTTGTGCATTTTGCCAAATTGGTGCGTGTGCACCGGCCCTGGACTCAGGGATGCTGGAGAAAGCCATCTCCAGGAGCCTAGCTCGTGCCCCTACTCCATCAACAACACGCATGCACGACAATGGTGCCGGAAGCCCTGCATGGACCTTCCAGGTGCCGCACAGCCTGCTGTCGCTTCCCCCTGCCTGATCTCCTAGTGGCCAGTGCTCGCTTGGAACCATCCAGGAAAGGGCGTTCTGGGAAACCCAATTCTAGCTTAGCAAGTTGCTATGATATAAAATCACTGCACCTACAAATGGGGGAGAAAGCAACTAACGTTTCATGAGGTCAACAATAAGTCTTCATGTTTGTCATCTCATTTGATCCCCACTCTGCCCTTACGAGTTAGGGCTATGATCTTCGTTAACTGGCTCACTGGAAGTGACACTGTTGTGGAGAGCAGGGGTTGGAGGCAGGTTGTTGGAGCCTGAACGCTTTCCCCCAGGATTCGACGCGCGCGCGGCTTGCTCCGGTGTTTCTGTCCCGGGGCTCCCTCTCCATCACGGTGCTGCCTTGAGGGTCCCTGCATACTGCGCTCATCTGACAAGGGAGAACGAACCGTTCGGAACCCATCAGGGGCCAGGTTGCACTGCACAGTCTCAGGCCATCTAAACTTCATCGAGGGGAAATATTTGAACAGAAAAGCAGTTGGACAGGAATTCGATTTTAATTAAAATGTATTTACTACAGGAGGCACTGCACTTGGAGAAGAGCTTAACGGGGGTTGGTATGTGGGGCGGGTGGAGGTACAGAATGACATGACCCCCCAAGAGACAAAACACACGAATTCCTTCTGCCAGTTCGTATGCGCCGGTCTGTACCAACCCAGCACATGGCTGTGTGTCCCTTCTTTCCCTTCCTAACCACACTCTGCTTTCAGTCAAGCATCTGCCTCCCTCCCATGCAGCCTGGTGTCTCAGGGGAGGCTGAACCCCCACCCCACCCCCCCAAGAGCGAGGCAGGGGCCCTGCACAGCCAATCAGCACTTTCCAGTCCTCTGGCTACCCTAAGAGTTCAGGTGAGCATGTGACGCAATCCAGGACTCCTGCCTGGAATGCTGGGCCGGAAATGTTCTCTTTTGGATAAGGTTGCTGGTGGCAACAAGAGCTCTTGGCACTGCGTACAATGAGGAAAAGCAGCCTGAAGACAAAGCCACCTCAGAGGGGGACAGAGCCAAGAGAATTGCAAAGAAAGGGAGCTAGGGATCTTACTTCTGGCCTCCTTGGTCATAGGAGTCTCTTTCTCTCCTCTTGTGGTTGGATCTCTTCTATGGCACGGGGAACACACTGACGGCTAGCCCCGACTCCTGTGGAAGGAGGTACTCTCTGTCTACACACTGGTCCTGACGACGAAGTCCACTTGGACCATGGGCGCATCTGTTAGACCAGTCATCAACTAGGGCTCTGGCGCTGGCCAGGCTTGGAATCCGTGCCCAGTCTGGTAGCCGGGAATGTGTACAGAGCACAGGCTCAGACATCAGGTAGTCAGATTCACCCAGCCATAGGCTGGTTCCTGGGAGAGCATGAGTGAGTGACTTCACTTCTGTAAGATTTCATTTTTTCATCTCTAAGACATGGGTGATAATTGTACTCACTTCAAGCACACAAGTTTCGTGATGGGAGTGGCTGTGTCCCTGATCTGGAATTGCTTGTAACGATGTCTCTTAGAGACTGGTGTTCCCTACATCCTTATTAATATCATTTCCCCCCCATTTATTTTATTCAAAGACCCTTACACATCATTTACTATGTACTGGTCACTGGAGTATGCCCATGTCTCTCTATTACTATTCCCCTATTATAGGTGAGGAGCCTGGGGCACAGAGAGGTTAAGTCACTTGCCCAGGGTCACACAGTTAACAAGGGGCAGAACCGAGATTCACACTGAGGCATTCTGACCTCAGAGACTATGTTACTAATTACTTAGCTATGACATCTCTTAGAATGACTGCACTGTACGTATTTATGGTGGATATATGAGGGATGGAGGGATGGGTGGACAGACAGATAAACTTGAGTGAGTCCCCTCCAGGAGCTGGAACAGAGAAAAGTATCACTGTCCTTGCGCCTCACCAGCTGCACTGTGGAGGGCTTGGAAGCTGCTTCTCTAGCTGCATTCAGTTGCGGCAGTGTGCTCTAGAATGGGCTTTGGGTTTGCATGAACACGATTCTGCCTGAGCTGCAGGTGTGGCCCAGCCCTCCTTGAGGGTGCCATGGGTTTTATAGCATTGTTTAACCTCTTGTGTCTCTACGGACCAGAATTATGTCCTTGTATTTCACAGTTGGCTTTGAACTTCCATGTGTGCACACAGATGCACAGGTATATACACTCCCCAGGGTCTCTGGGGCTGGGGATAGACAGCTGTCATCACCCCGTGTCTCACCCTCTCTCTGCACACCCACTCTCTGTCTCTATTTGCCCTGGTTGGTATTTCCTCTTCTTCCTGCTCTCAGCTCTCCAGCATTGACTTCCCCATCATTGCTGCCAATGTGTACACAGTCCCCAAAGTGCTACAGGCATTATTGACTTTGACAGGTGCCATTTCTCCCCCAAACTGTCTCTGGAAAGCCCATTGAAAATGTGGTAGGCCTGATGCATTCCTCCTGCCCTTGAAAACATTTGTCTGTCCTCTCTATGAAAAATGGAGCGTTCAGAGTCCTATCAGGAAGATAATGGGCTAGAACAAGGCCCTAGTGATCTTGCTTCTCACACACTGTTTGAGGGAGGTACAAATGTTTCCACTTCCTGGCTTAGAAAGTCCTCCAAACACAGTTCCCAAGGTGGCCTGGGGCCAGTCTGCCTTTTCTCATCATTCAGGAAGGTCATCGGACTTTGTATAGATACCAGCCTCCTCTTCCTTCTGAATTCCCAAAGGCCTTTGGTAGCAGCATGGGGATGAAGCGGGTGAGAACCACACTCACTATTTTACCCTTTCCCGGAACATCAGTATGTGAGGAAGAGGTCTGAGGGCCTGGGCCCTTTCTCATTTGGACCGGGAGACACAGGCGGTATATCTCTTTCTCCTGCCATTCAAATGCCGTGAGAGGCACCCTGGCTTCCCCACAGAAGATTCCTGCATCCGGAATCCACGTAATGTGGAAGTTAAGAAACAAAACAGATGAATATATGGGAAAGGGGGGAAGAGAGGGAAACAAATCACAAGAGACTCTTAATGACAGAGAACAAACTGAGGGTTGATGTTGGGAGGTGGCTGGGGGAGGGGCTAGATGGGTGATGGGTACTAAGGAGGACACTTCTTGTGAGGAGCACTGGGTATTGTATGTAAGTGATGAGTCATGGAATTCTACTCCTGAAAACAAGATTGCATTGTATGTTAACCAAGTCGAATTTAAATAAAAGTTTGAAAAGGAAACAAACAAAAAAAAGGAATCCACTGAGTTCACCTCTGACCTTTCTTCAAGCAAACTGCTAGGCTGGAAATAAAAGGAAGCCAGACCTAACACCCCCACACTACCCATCAGGTAGATAACCAATGAGGTTGGAGATCAACAGCTGAAGTTTTTTCCTGGGAGGCACGTACTTGCTGGTAAACCCATCACTTCCAGTCTGAGATGCAGATATTTTTAGGGATGAATCTGGGCCTTCCTTCTCTCCCTCCCTCTGATGCTAATGTGGCCATCTGCATCTCCCAGACAACCTTCACCAGCACACGTTCTCTGTCCTGACAGAGTGGGCTGAGGAAGAGATTATTATTAAATATAGCACACTGAGCCACGGCACAGGGAGCGTGAGCTTGCCTGCATGCTAGGAGCGAGGTGGGGGCGTTAGAGACCTGGAACCCACCCCACGCTCCGTGACACTCACAAGTGCCTTCCCTTCCCTGCGGCTCCATTTATTTTTCTATTTCTTTAATCTGTTAAGAGAGGGGCTCAGATGATGTTTCCTCTACGGTCAGCTCTAACATTGCATGACCTTCTCTTTGAAGAGCTCAATTGTATAAACTCCCAGACACACAGTCCAGCAGGATACTCGTTACTGGTTACTGCTCTGCCCAGAGGGTGTGGGATTGTCTCCTGTCTCTATTGCTCTCCACCCTCCGGAGAGATGGCCAAGAAGGGTGGCTTGTGTGCGGTGGTGAGGGGTCCTGGCCACAGGCTTGTGAGGTCCCAAGGCTTACCTTCATCCATGCAGTTAGCCCCATCAGCTCCCAACTTGCCCTAAAAGCTCACCTACCAAGCATCTTTCTTACCCAGGCCCCAGAGTTAAGGAGATTGGGTGGGAGTAGCATGGGGGAGAAGGGGCGAAGATTCTAGGAGGGCACTGGTTTTAGTTTTTGAGCTATTTGAGCTTCTAGACTGAACAGTGCTATCCTTGCAAAACTTGGTTGGCCCAAAGGGTTCCTGAAGTAGCGTTGAATTTGTGTAATGTGGAGAACATTGTGCTAGACATAAGGTGATTGGAATTATAAAAAATAAAAGTATTAAAGAATACGGCTCCCATAACATGTTGTACTTATGCTTATCAGCTGCGTAATGAGTTACATGAATGCAGGAGACACACTGAGCTCGCAGTAGCATTTGAGAATTGAATGAACGACACTCTCCAGCTCCATCCCCAACATGGGCGTCTCAGACCCAGGCTTTGTGGTCAAGTGAGGCTTTGTGGTGAGGCTGCTTCTGAAGCTCCTCTCTGTCCAGGGTTTCCTATATCAGTGTGTGAATAAAGTGGGGCCAGGCGACTCTCATCTCTTGCTCCGGCAGTGCCCAGGCCTGAGCTCAACGGAACCTTTGGGCAGGTCAGGCCCCAGAGCAGTTCCTCTAGACATAGGCGTGGCCTGTCCAGTGCTCTAGAGGCACAGGCAGGGCTGTAGCAGCCCCAGTGCACAGTGGTTCGGCATGCACATTCTGGAATCAGATAGCTCTGGGCTCAAATTCCAGCTAGGTTACCTATTAACCATGTGACCTTGACAAGTGACTGCCCACTGAGTCTCAGTTTTCACATCTGTTAAAGGGAAGGATAATAAAGACATACACCTTATGGAGCCATCATCAGGATTCAATGAGCAAATGTGTCTAGAGAACACTCCATCAACTGGCCTCACAGCGGGAGTTCTATCTGAGTGGAGAGCCGCCCCTCTGTGAGCCAAGGCTGTTTTACGCACCCAGCCAGAGCGGCTCTTGCTCAGGCTTAGCTGCAGGAAGTTGATGGAACTCTAAAGATGCCAAGAGAACCGCCAGGTGGGACAATCCCTGGGAAATCTCAGAAGGCTGGAGTAGGATCGCCTCGTAAGGAGCAGAGAACAAAATAAACTGCAGGTTCGATGGGGGCAGACGGGGTTCTGCTGTACTCGCCTGGCAAGGGAACGTAGTCTCTCTAGAGGGTGGTCTGGTGCTGTGGGAACTCCAGCAGCCTGGAGCCACAACACTGCTTTCTCACTGCCCACGCTTGCCTGTTCTTCGCTCCCAGGTCAGCTCGGTTCCAAGAACATTTACTGATGCCTACGCGGGGCTAAGCCAGGGACAGGCGCAGGGTCCCAGAGGTGAGCAAGAGTGGCTCTTGCCCGTGGGATCCCTGTTTCGTGATCACCGCTATACCAGAGAAGTCTGCACAAGTTATTTGTAGGATTTACAGTTTACAGAGTCGCTTTGCACCCTGGCCATGCCCCACGCTGTCCACACTGTATTTTCTGTGGATGGTGCCCTCTGGAGCTGCTGGGGTATGGGTGACCCAGGAGCATGGGCAGAGCAGAGATTAAGGTTGGCATTTGACAGCCAAGAGAACGGGGCGCTTAGGTGATTCTGACGAAGGTAACACAGGTGGTATGACCGACCGTCCCTCTTCCCACGAGCTGTATTCGAAGCAAGGCCAGTCCAGGTGAACGGAAGAGCCTATCAGCTTTAGCAGGGTGTTTGCTGAAGCCCAGAGTGGTCAAGGAGCAAAGCAAGGAGGGAGGTCCACAACCGGTACAGGAAGTGCCATGCTGCTCCCTCATTTTCAAAAGGGGAAGCTGAGGCTTGTTTTCCAGCTGCCCAGGCCAAGGAGCAGAGGCCCAGCCTCAGCCTCTCCCTTGACACTAAGGTACTAGCGCCCAGGTTTTCATCTAGCAGCACCATGGCTCCCTGCCTGCATTGGCCCTCCGCGGGTCTGGGGGAGAGCGCCCGGGGCTCCTGGCGCTGGGGGCAGGCTACAGCCCACGTGCGCCCGCGGCAGACGCGGTGACAGCTGGCCCCCTGGGGGCGGAGCGGGCGTGGAGCGGGGGTGGGCCCCGCGCCGCGCTGCCATTGGCCGTGGGCCTCGGCTCGGGGGCGGGCTGCGCCCCCGGCTGCTCTGTCATTGGCCGCGCCGCCGAGGGGGGCGGCTCCCAGCCCGGTTGGCCGCGCAGAGCAGAACTGCAGGCGCTCGCCCGGCTAAGCCTGCGCGGGGCTGTCTCGCCAGCTCCCAGCTCCGCAGGCCGCCTGCGGGTCCGGATCGCCGCGTCCGCGGCTCCAGGCGAAGGCAGAGCTAACCCGAGGCTAGGCGGCCGACGCGGATCTCGGTAAGGGAGGGCGTGGGGAACGGGGCTCTAGGGAGGGCGGGCGGGTGAGGACCCTGGGCAGTGGAGCCTGGACTCTGCGCCCCGGCCCGCGCCGGGGAGAGTCAGGTGCGGCCGAAGCATCTCTCGCCTCAAACCCACCCCGCGGGGCTCCGGGCAAGCAGGTGGCCCTGCCCAGGGAGCCCGGGGCTGCCCGGTAGGTCTCTGAATCTATCAGAATGCAATAAAAGCCTGCCGCCCCGTACCCTGAGCTACCTCTTACTCCTCCCCAACACCCAAACCCTGCAAACCTGAGCCTAGAAAATCCCCACACGTCAACACAGAGTGGGCGCCACGCGCCAGGAGTACCGCATGCCACCGGGGCAGATCATCCCCAAACTTTGCTTTCCCATAATTTGGGCTCCACTCCGTTCAGGCTCTTTCCCGGCTCTTCTCTGGGCACTCCCCTACCCCGCCCCGGCTCCCCCCTCCCTCCTTAACAACAGGAAGTTAAGTCGGGCCAAATGTCAGTGGCCTGCCTGGCCTCCTGCGGGCTGGGTTTGGGACTGAGTCTGGGGCCGGGCGGTGGAGGTGGCCAGGGGGCCGTGGCGCTGCTCTCTCTGTGCCGCATACCCCCCAGCAGCCCAGGCGCAACACAAGCACACCCAGGTCCGCGAGCACTCCGCTCGGGGCATCTGCCGCGGCGCCTGCCTTGCTGTTGCTGAGAAGTGGGGTCTCCCCCCCCCCCCCCCCCCCCCCCCCCCCCCCCCCCCCCCCCCCCCGCAGCCTGTGCCGCCGCTAACCTGGCTGCCAGACTGGAGCAGGTAGGGTTAACTTTATCCTAGGCCAGCCTCCCTCTGAGCTGGGAATCGCCTTTGCTGGACGGGGAAGAGGCGTGTTGAAACCAGAGTAAACGTGTGTCTCCTTCCCCCTTGTTAATTCTGTAACCTGGTTCTTAAGGCCAAAAGAGCTTTTCTCTGGAAGCCCATCGGGCCTTGGGGGGCTTGGAGGGGCAGTGTGTGGACCCTCTTGCTATCAGTCTCGCTTTCTCACGATAGTCTTCTGTGGTGTCAGGGGAGGGTGAAGTCGCTAACTGGCCCCCTTCTGGGCAGGTCCCTCAGGAAGAAAGCCAGCAGCCCCTGGCCCTCTGATGTTTATGCGCCTGGGTGCCCTGGTACCTGGGCCAGCTCTGTTGTCTCCTTCCCAGGGGAGGCAAACCCAACAAGGGGGCCTCAAGTCTCTTGGCAGCCCCAGCCGACATTCTGAAGACTCTTACTGCAGTAAGGGCTTGCCTTCAGGCAGAAGGCAGATTTATTAAGCGCCTACGGACGGGTCCTGTCCTGTGACACTTTTGCAGCTGATTGATCCGTTGCTCTCCAAAAACTCCATTTTGCCATCCTTGTTTTAGACATGGGGAAAGAGACTCAGGTAGGGTAAGTGCCCAGGGTCCCACAGAAAGTGGCTGAGGCAGGATCTGAACCAGGCTCTGCCAGAACTAAACCCAGTGCTCTTCCTGCTGCCCCGTGGCGGTGGAAAGTGATCATGGCTCTACTGTGTGCCGGTTGGAGCCTCTTGGCCTTTGAAAAGAGTCTGTCCAAAGATTCAGGGGCTCCTGCTTTGGCAACGCACTTGAACTGACCCTGGTTAACCCAGGTTGTTCAACCTGCAGACCGCTTGCTCACTCTGTCCTCAGAGTCCGGGATGAGTGGCTGGTATTGGTCATGCTGAGATGGGGAGGGATTAACTGCCTGTGAGGGGGGGGTGAGGGGTGAAGGCAGAGAGCCTGCCTCTTCCACTGACTTGGTCTCACCCGTGAGCGTTGGCTTCCGGGACTGTCTAGAAGGACTGTTAGCTGGAATAACCCCTACCTTAGATCTGATTTTAGTTTTGTTTGTTTCATTTGGGGGGGGGGTGCTGTTGTTGAGGTTATGGATGTAAGATGATTGAGCGCCTCAGTTTGAGCATAACTTTACAAAAAAATGACATCACTCTGGTCCCTGCTGACTTCCTTCTTTAGTCCCAGCGCTGATCCCAGGCTGCTTCTGCTCACCATTCTCTTCTAAAAGTAAATCATGATTAGCCTAATACCAACCAGCTGTACTTCAGTACAAAGCATCTTATGGACTAAGGCTGGTTTTCACTGGTCATCAGAGGCCCATTCCCAGGAGCTTTAAGGAGCTGAGGAACAGCTGGGTAACACTTTTCTGCTTGTAATTGGGGCATGTCTTCTCTCCGCCCAGGCCCTTACCCTCATCGGGTGTGCCTCCCAACCAAGGACCTGCCCCGTTCACTCCCTGCTACTGAAGGATCGAGGTCTTGCCTTGTTGGTGGAGAGCCTTGATTCTGGCCGGAGGGGTACGGTATGAGTGCAAGAAGGTTTGCTAATCTTAGGAACCCTGCCAGGGCTAAAAGTGTGTGGTGTTTAAAGAGCCAGGGAAGGGAATACTGGGATTGTCCCCATTTTACAGACGAGGAAACTGAGACTGGGGAAGATTAAAGCTCCCTCTCCCCTCCATCACTTGGCTCATGAGTAACCAAGCTAGGATTCTGGTCTCTGTCTGTACAAATGAGGTTTATGTGGTGAATTAAATCCCAAAGAAAGAAGGAAAGCCTGGTGGCTACGCTCTGTACTCTGGAGGGCTGGCGTGGGCAGCTCCCCCTCTTGCACTTCCTATTCCCCGACTTGTGATTGTGAGCGGGTCTTCCCATCCCACTCTGACATGGCATTGAAAACACTCCCAAAACTTCACAGATTTACTTCCTGGTTCTTCTTTGCTCAGTATTGCCTTAGCCTTTTGTACCAGTCTTCGTTTACCTGTCCACCACCCTGTACCGCAGTCCTGTGTTTTAAACTATCCATGGACATTTCCAGACACAAAAGGAGCAAAAATAGTATAATGAGCCCCATCTACTCAGTGTCTAGCTTCAACCGTCATCAAGATTATGCCAGGCTGGCTTCATGCCTCTCCTTTTCTCCCCTTCTGTCCTGAAGTCTTTTTTTAATTTATATTTTAAAGTTTATTAATTTGAGAGGGGAGGGAGAGAGGGAGAGTGTGCACATGTGCAAGCAGGGCAGGGGCAGAGAGAGAGAGAGACAGAGAGAGAGACAGAGAGAATCCCAAGCAGGCTCTGCACTGTCGGGGAGTGAGATCATGACCGGAGCTGAAATCGGGAATTGGACACTTAACCAACCGAGCCACCCAGGTGCCCTTCTTCCTGAAGTATTTTAAAGCCACTCTCTGGTATCCTGTCATTTTGCCCCTATATAATCCAGTATAGATCTATTTTTAAAAGGTTTTCTTTCATAACCACATTGCCACTATTGCACGTAAGAAAATTAACCGTAGTTCTTTGGTCTCATCTGTCTGTATTTGGATTTCCTTGATTATCTCAGAAAAGACCTTCGTAGTTGGTCTGTTTGAATCAGCACCCAACGTCTTGATGCTGCATTTGGTTGCTAGTCCTTCTATACCTAGTTTAGAGCAGCCTCCCCTCTACCTTTTAACCAGCCGTTTACCCTCCATTTTAACTGCCCCCCTCCCCTGCCCCGGCCACCAAACCCTCTGAGACTGGGATCCACATCTACCATGCTGGATCACCTTGTGGCATCTGGGACGGGGTGGAGGCTTCCTGAGCGTCCATCCAGTGGTGTCCAGGAAATGCATTTTGAGTGAATGAACCCCGTCCCAGGCTGATGTGGCTGTCTGTGACTGTGTTTAGATAAGAGGTTTAAAAAAAAAAAAAGACTTGCTCGCGTGTGGATGTTTCCCCAGCAAGCGTCAGTCTGTAAACCTTGTGAAATAATGGAACTATTTTCATGGCTCGCCACACCGCTCTGGTTTGTGGTGGGGAGCCCAGACGGCCGCCTTTGTGCCCCGGTCAGCATCTGGGCTCCCCGGATCATGTGTGGGGCTGACTGGCTCTGAGGTCATTTCTGCCAGAAGTTGGGATCCCTACGGACTCAGCCGTGGCCACCACCGCCTTCTCAGCCAGATGCTTGGTGTTTGGCCTGCACAGAGACCTCAGCACACCCATCTGGGCAGCGCCTCCTCCCTGTGCCTTCGAGAGCCTCCCCATCTGCCCCACACCTGGCCGTTGTGGAGGCTTCTCAAGTCACCGTTTGTCTGCAGCTGGCCGGTTGGGACCACCAAAGATGGACACTTAGGACCTTTCAGTGTCTTGTCTGAGTTTGTGGTGACGAGCTCATACCCCCTCTCGCATCTTGTGGGCATCCTGATGAAGGCCCCTGGAGGCTCTGGACGGAAGGAACAGGTGTGCGGCACTCCTGGGTTCCTTGTTGAATCTCAGGAAGGTCTGATGCACCCGGCAGGGGCCCCCTCTGCCAACAGCCCTCAGAAGGAGGAGTTATTTTTTCTTCTTCTTGTTTTTGTGGTTTTGTTTGTTATCCCCTGCCCCCCGCCCCCCAGACTGTCTTTTCCACTAGGTGGAAATATAAGAAAATTTAAAATTGTTAAGTCCTTCTTTTATGATAAGTGTTAGTTGATTTGTTTCCATTTATCTTTAGTAATCTTTTTAGCAATTCCCCCAAATTTTTAGAATAAGAATATTTTATTTTTCTAATGGAAAATCCAAATATTTGTTGTTGTTTTTTTTTTTTGTCCTCTTAAGAAAGAGAGTTTTCAGGACACCTCAGTGGCTTAGCTGGTTGAGCGTCCGACTTCAGCTCGGGTCATGATCTCACGGTTCCTGGGTTCAAGCCCCGTGTCCGCCTCTGTGCTGACAGTTCAGAGCCTGGAGCCTGCTTCAGATTCTATGTCTCTCTCTGCCCCTCCCCCGCTCACATTCTGTCTCCATCTCTCTCTCATAAGAATAAATCAATGGTAAAAAAAAAAAAAATTTAAAGAATTTTCTTCAACATGGATGATAGACAAAATTATACATGCATTTTGTACAGCTCTGTGTTGGAAAGATCACAAAGCCATCAACATTTTTTTATTTACTTATTTTGTTTTATGACATTATCTTAACATCCTCAATTTAGGGAGTAAAGCTGGGGCTTAAGA